CCAAAAGTGCGGCTCGCAAGTGTCAAGCGTCTCCAATCCACAACGAAAACAACAATCTTTCCCAACACGCCCACGCTGCCAACCAACATTTCGCACACGCATCAGTCTCGTCGAACATCTCAGGACCCAATGCAACAGCAACAACAATCTGACAAATCCCCCTGGTGCCTTCAAAAACGTCCTCGTCGTCACCCCTGCGCCAACCCTCACGAGGAAGACGACCAGAACCTCCATTACCGCATCGGCGACCACACTCCTGATAGACCGACGCCCACGCTGTTCTCCCTCCTTCTGTTGTTGTGTGTGTCATAAGCAAATCAGCTATAGTATTTGTGTTCGTCACTGCCTCAATCTCCAGACACTAGATAGTCGGTATCAGTGTGATGGATTCGCAATGGGCCCATCGAGTCTGTGAGGAATGTTAAAGTGCGATCACGATGGGGGCAAGTTGGGATTAATCTGACGATAGCGACATCGCTGGTGATGGTAGTGGTGATGGTGTTGTTGTTGTTGTTGTTGTTGTTGATGATGATGATGATGATGACGACGACGACGACGACAACGACGACGACGACGACGGTGGTGTTGGCGGCGGTGGTGGTGGTGGTGGTGGTGGTGGTGGTGGTGGTGGTGGTGGTGGTGGTGGTGGTGGTGGTGGTGGTGACGTTACCTATAAATAGGGCTACTGAACCCTTCCAGACGGCTGCCGAATTTCACTGAGTCATGACTGATGCTTAATTGGGAGACGACAAGTGTTAACCTCGACTGCATACGAGATTGCATATCGCGATCTGTATAAGAATTATGGGCCATGACGACTGCAATTAGGCTTAAGGATTGCTTTATGGGCAACCAAATATGTGCACGATTATTGTCGACAGTATATGCGCGTCAGGGCGAACTCGTAAATTTAAGGTTGCGAAGCTATCATCCAGACGGATTTACGAACCTGGGGTGTGCGTACAGCTTTGTTCAAGGCGGGTCTCGACGACGTCACAAACCGCGACGCACCAGCGGGTAATGAGCACAGACGAGACATACCTAAGTAAGTATATATGTGCCGGCTTACACCGCGTTCTTACAGTCTCGAATTTTATCCAACCATATTCAGTGACAAATTTCATGAAATATCAAGCGATATTCTGAGATTCGTATTAGAATTTGACAAGTGTGGTTGTAATATTCCCTATGGTGCAACAAAATCCTAAAACACTTCTGTCACGTCAGGATGGCGGCCTTTGATAGCACATACACTCGGCTACTTACAAAATATCGTACACAACGTAGAATTTCTGCACAGTCAATAAGAATCTCCTCAGTTTTTGACGTCTTTATAAATTTCAACATGCTTTCAGTATCAGTATCAGTATATTTCAGGGAAAGTTGGTGTGTACCTTTGAAATCGCTATTGGTTATTTGCAGAGGATATATATGGAGGAAATGGAAAGGAAGTAACATGAAAAAAATGCGAGGGGAATAGCATAAACTGTACAGATGAACACAGGATGTCATGCTTTAACAGAGTTTAGAGGCACATTAACTTGCTTTGTTGGTCAAAATACAGCGGACAGTTGAGGCACACTTAAGACACGGGAAAAGAAGTAAAATTGTTTAGTCTACAGGCATCGTGGTGAATGCGAACAGCGGTGTGCGACGTGGTGCAGGCTTAATAAATAACATAAACATATATTACTTAAATGTTAGTAGTAGCATCGTTATAACACTTAATTGTCCGCGTTGGCTGTCAAGGTGGCCGCAGTCCGGCGTTATTGTGGTGCGCGCTACAATGCTGATCTAGTCTCCATTTAAAAGTATCTACCGAGCCTGGCATAACAACATCCTCAGCAAGGCATTCCAAGCTGCAACCACTCTGTTGGAGAAGAAGAACTTTCGGGTGTCTTGCCGGGCACCAGCCACACGCAGTTTGAGTGGATGGCCTCTCAGGTTAGTCGTAGTCGCCAACTCGAAGAAGTCTCCAAACGCGAGGCAGCAGCCCTGATTGCGCACAATGCGGAAAGCTTGTATCAGGTCCCCACGTAGCTGTCTGTAACTCAAAGGAAAGAGGTCAAGATTAGCTAATCGTGTTTCGTAGGGTAGTGACCACTGCCCAGATACAAGTTTCGTTGCTCACCGTTGATCTTTTTCGAGTATGCCCAAGTCTTTAGCGGTCCAGGGTCGCCATGCTTGGATAGCAAACTCCAGATGCGGTCGCACAAAAGTTTGAAAGACCTTGGCGAAGCAGTCTTCATCAAAGGAGGAGAACGCCCGTTTGACAAGGTATAGCATGCACATCGCCGACTTGGCCACCTTTGAACATTGCAGCGAAGGCTTAAGCGAGGTTGTGATCCATACACCCAAGTCCTTCTGGGCGTTGACTTCTTGCAGTGGTTTGCCAGTCAGACGGTAGACCGTGTGGTTAGGAGAACTGGTTCTGCCGACGCGTAGGAAAGTACACTTGTTTACTTTGAACGGTAGAAGCCAGTCTTTCGACCATTGCTCGAGGTGGTCCAGACTTGTCTGCAGTCGCGCCTCGTCAACTTCGCTTCGTATGGTACTCCAGATCTTTATGTCATCGGCAAACATTGCGACATCGCAATTCAGTTCGTTTGCGCAGTCATTGACATATACAAGGAACAGCGTAGGGCCAAGAACAGAGCCTTGGGGAACACCACTCTTAACGGCAACCTCGGCAGATTGTTGGTCACCGACGTGGACGGCTTGAGAGCGGCCGATTAAAAAGCTCCGAATCCACATCAGAAGCTTACCCCGCACTCCTGCACGGCTAAGTTTGTATAGAAGGCGGTGGTGAGGCACACTATCGAAGGCCTTTTTAAAGTCGATATAGATGGCATGCACCATATCTCCTCTATCAACAGCCCTAGTCCAGTGTTCCAGACAGTAGTGCAGGTTTGTCACACAGGATCTGCCTTTTCGGAATCCACGCTGAGAATCGGAAAGCAAATGGTTTTGTTCAAGGAACTGCATTAGTTGTTGCTTTATTATCTTCTCCATAATCTTACAGCAAATGGAGGTGAGGCTGACCGGTCTGTAATTGTTCGCAGAGACCCGACTTCCGCTCTTGTACAGCGGCGTAATCCACGCCGACTTCCAGTCGGGTGGCAGATATCCGGTCTCGAAGGATGTATGGAAAAGCATGGAGAGTGGCTTAGACAACTCACCGGCGAGTTCCTTCAAAATCTTCGCCGGAATCTCATCGGGACCTGGTGATTTGGATTCCTTTAGCCTCAGCAACTCCGTCAGAACCATACACTCAGTGAACTGGACGGTCTCTATAATTGGAGTGTCTTCGAAGGATTGAGGGGCCGCAGGGTTGAATCCTGTTTCGCTACTAAAAACAGCTCGAAAAAATTCTGAAAGGTGATCAGCTTTCGCTCTGTCGTCAGTGAGATTCTCGCCTTCAGCAGTCCTTAGCTGGGGTATTGGGTCCTTGTTCCGCGTGCACTGCCTAATGTAACCGTAGAATAATTTAGGGTTCTCCGCGGCACGGTTAAGCAGATCCCGTTCGAATTCCTTTCTGGTTTTGAGGATAAGACCCTTGACTCGATTTCTTTGAATTTTGTACGCGCATATAGATGTGGGGCTCCTGTCAGAAATCAATTTTTTCCACAGCCGTCGTTTTTTATTCACTTCATTCTTCAAGGCTTGCGTAAGCCATCGAGGTCTGTAAGTTAACCTCTTCCGTGAAAGCGGACAGTGCTTTACGAGCAGCTCGTGCAGAATTTCTCGGAACCGTTGCCAGTCTTCGAGGATGCTCCCAACAAATATGGACTCCCACTCAATGCGTGAAATTTCAGCCCTCATTTGGTCGAAATCCCCGCGCCAAAGGTTTCTTCTAACTGCCCTGGGTTTCTTGGGCATGGAAAAAAGCGAGTAATCCCATAGAAGAACGACGTGGTCACTTTTACCTAAGGGGGGTAGGCATGACACCTCATTAGTGCTGTCCTGTGACTTCGTAAGGACAAGATCAAGGCAGTTGGCTTGTTGGCCTTCGCGTACTCTAGTTGGTAACATGACGTGTTGAGTGAGAAATAGCTTCAATGCCGTGTTCAGAAAACTCCTATCGAAGGTCTGTTCTGAGCTATTTGCATGGATCGAGCTCCAGTCAATATGGGGCGCGTTAAAGTCGCCCATGATTAGGATATCCGGCCGCGTAGCGAACTTTTCGAGCTCCTCCAGCAGGCGAGCGTCGGCCATGTTGTCCCGTTTTGGCGGTCGATAAACTGTCAGGACATCGAGGCTAGGCGAGCTCGGCACTTTAATAGACAACCAGATTGCCTCGGAACTGCACGAAAAGTTATCGGTCTTGTCTGATACATGTAGCCCATTTTTTACATACGTGAGTACGTCTCCTCCCTGACGCCCTTCCCTATCCCTTCTAAACATCTGGTAGCCAGGCAAGGCCAGCTCACGGTCGTCCACGTGTTGGGTCAACCAGGTTTCTGTTAGAGAGATTACGTCAGGGGATAGGTCGCAGAGGTGGATCTTCAGCTCGTCGAACTTTGATAGCAAACTCTGCACGTTGGTGTACAAGAATTTCAATTTCCGGCTGACGGAAGATGTGGTTACATTTGGGTTAGTGCCTTCACTTAATATGTAGGCTGCGCGGTCATTCGGACAGGACCTGTCCAAAGGAAGAGTGACGGACGCCGCCGTACTTGGTTGTTGTATATTACTAAATTGTTCTCCCCCTCTCTGAGCCTCTTTCTTAGTTCTAGAACCAGCTGACGACGCTTGAGCCGTTCGGCTGGCGAGTAGTCCGGTTGAAAAAAAACACCTGGGTTGGAGCCTTTAATCCTGAATCGCCTGGAGTAAATGAGACTGGCTTGGTCGCTGCTGGCCAGCACAACTTTAAGAGGCCGGGGTCGAGTGGACATTGATGGATTATCTGCTCGTTTTCCAAGGCGGAAGGCTTTGATCACTTCAATAGCCTCCGTGGGTTCCAAAATATTATTGAGAAGACCTTGGAAGAGTGATAGGTCTTCCGAAATTTGCTCCTTGGGAGTAATTGCACTTGATTCAGGGAGCCCTTGAATAATAAGACACTGTTCTCTGTCGGTCTCTTTTTTATTTTCTACGGAATTAAGGTTCCCTAAATGACGTAACTCTCTGGGACTACGCGCTGGTGATGGTGGAGCAGATGCGCTTGCGCCGTCTGTTTGTTTGACTCTTATGTTGACAATCTTGGAAGAAGTACTTGGCGGAGAAGACTGTGGAGAGAAATCTGTGGCTGTGATGGATGAATCGATTCCACCGCTCGTACTAGGTCTATCAAGCTCGGACTGTTTCTGAGAGTCAGCAAAGGTGTTTGAACACACAGCATTTGTCATGAGGGGCGGAGCATCTGTCAATGTCTCTGCTTCGACCGCTAAAGAGGCATCTTCCGGAAGTAGCCGTCCGTTTTTCTCGGACAATTTACACTTGGATTTTTTTTTCTCTTCAGTTTTTGGGTTGCCTTTCTGGTCGTTATTTTCACGCTTTTTAGCTGTTCCTTCTGGGGCCGCTGTAATAGGTGCTGGCGTGCCTATTATGCTGGGAGCTTTTGCCCTATTTCTGGTTTCTCGTCCAGTTAGCAAAGTGCTAGCGTTAGCTTGGTCAAGACTGCATCGCAACTGGGCTTTTATCTTTGTGATTTCTTCCTCAAGATAGTTGACCTTGACGG